GACTTTAAAAACATAAAAAATCTTTGACTGGTAGTGTACTTGCCAACTTTTGCAAAGTTTTTGAAGTTATTTTAAGTAGTAAAATATCACAATATTACTGCTTTTGCTGTATTTTGGATCAAATAAATGCAGGCTTGGAGAGCAGAAGAGACTTTAAAAACATAAAAAATCTTTGACTTTGACTTTGACTTGCTTTTCAGTATGTGTATGTTTTTCCATGATACAAAGTCCCCAGGGGACTGTGGTGATGCCCTTTTTTTAAGCTAGTGCATCTGAGAGGTCAAGATTTGTAATTTGTACTTTTAAAAAGAAAATGTTCAACAATTAAAAATAATATTATCAGAACTAAAGCTCATGAGTTATTGTGTATGGCTGGGTATGGTAAAAACCATGGTTTACAGTGCAGTACCACAATTGGATTGTTTTTTACAGGTACATTTTTTTAAAACTAAATGAAAATAAACTCTACAGTACTGATACTGTAAATGAAAATACGTAATAATACTGTAAATAAAATACAGTAAAGACATTATTGTACTGTAAATGGAATTACAGTACTAATACTGTAAACATTTTTACAGTAAATTACTGGCATCCAGTTGCCAGTAAGTTACTGTAAAATTTACAGCAACCTATTTACAGTGTAGTTCTATTTTCGACTTCGAAAGTTTGAGGTCAGTAAGATTTGTTTTGGTTTGTTTTTTGTTTGTTTATTTTTTCAGCAAGAATGCATTCAATTGATCAAAAGTGACAGTAAAGACATTTAGAATGTTAAAAAGATTTGTTGGGAAAAAAGAAAAAAAAAAGAAATGCTGTTTCTTCAGCAGCAAATCAGCATATTATGATTTCTGAAGCATCATGTGACACTGAAGATTGGAGAAATGGCTACATTTAGAATGCATGCATTCATTTACACAACAACAGATTTTTGGGAGCCTGAAAACGCAAAAGTTCGATACCAGGTTTCAAAGTGCACAGTTTTGAAAACAATACCATTATTGTCTTCGTGTAAACTACAAAAACAATAATTTGTGAAAACGGTCATGCGCATGCATATTACGCGATCAGTCTATAGTTATGTGGGCAGGCACAGAGTGTTTCTTTACAAAGTGACATCGCCAACTACTGGCCTGGCATGCATAATACAGCGTTTTAGTCATTTTCACAGACGTGTATGAACGGATCATTTTGACAATGTTGTCATCTGAATGCAAAACTTTTCAAAAATGCAAAAGAAAAAAGTTCCATTCCATTAGTGCCATAAGAGGCTTTTAAAAACGTTAAAATCTTACCGACCCCAAATTTTTGAATGGAAATATATATATAAAATGTAAAGGTATATTTCAACCCAAAATAAATATTTTATCATCATTTACTCACCCTCATGATGTTTCAAACTGTGTCCAGGATGCCGTTTCACGTGCAATGAAAATAGATGGGCCATCAAGCTCCAAAACAGACAATAAAGTACCATAAAAGTAGTCAATGTGAGTAATTCACAGAAAAGTTGTTTTTCATTCGCTAAGTATTGATACACAAGATTTTATGTTCCCTTTGTGGCACTTTTTGTCTTGGAGCTTGACAGGCACAATCCCCATCCACTTTCATTGTACAGTTAATTCTTTCTGTAAATCTTAGAAGAGAAAGGGTTTTTAAATTGACATTAGGTTAAGTACATGATGACAGAAATGTTTGGGTGAAGTATATTGAGAAATGACAAAGGTCATACTGTATATCTGCCTCATTGTCACAAGTCAGATTCAAACTAACATAATGCCACATGTAAGGTTCTCGAGATATTAAATACTCCTCTTGCAGAATCCTTCTCACATCTGTGCAAAACCATGCATGTAGGCATATGACTGTCTGACTCAGTTGGGGAAATTTTAGCAGAAGTGGTTGGTAAGTCAATGGGCGTTGGCCTCGAGGCACCTCACTGGCTTTTTTGGTATCAAAAAGGGAAACAGAGTTGCTAAAAACAGAAAGTCTAGAAGCCAATTGTTAATTTAAGGATCATGATGATGATGGTGAGACTGCAACCACCTTCAGATTGGGATGGCTTTGGCTGTGTCCTTTCTCTAATTTGGCAGAATGACTAACTCCACTTCAATGGACCGCCTGACTGCAGTATATTTGTTTGAGGTTTGGACTGTTTAGACAAGTTAGACCGTATTCTTAGTCTCCATACCTTCACAACTAGGTGAGAAACTTTTGCCAAACCTAGAACTTTGCAGACCATAATTCAAGACAGTTGCCTTCCTTAGTGTATCCTTGAAGAAATTATGGCACAGCATTGGTTCCCAAAAACGCTGAATATGTGCTTGACAGCAACACTGTTCGTCATCGTTGCATAATCAACTGTTAAATTACACAAACATCTATTATTATAAATATTGTTAGTGAATAAGCCTGGGCAATCAAAAGAATACTATTTCATTATAAATTTCTTCCAAGCTGAAATGGTCCATGCCATGCAATTCACATTTATTTATTACGCCATACTTATCTTGTTTGTCAAAAATCATTTGAGTCTATTTTTATTTCTCCCTAACTCCAAACTTTGGATGTCCACCACAAACAAAGCTAAAACCTAACATGCTCTACTCTTGAATGGAAAAGGAGAACTACTTAGCTATTTTAACACTTCTGCTTCTTCAATTTTGAAACTATCCTTGGCTCTTAGAAATGGCGAATGTGAGATTGACTACAACACTCTTCTCGATTACTTCTTTATCAATTGATGAATTACTGCTGCCATAATTGCTTGCAAATCTACACAAACATCTATTTTAATAAATATTTTTAGTGAATACGACAGGAAAAAAGCTAAAATACACTCAAAAACAAAGGTTCCAAAAGGGTTTTCACATGCCATAGAAGAACCATTTTGGGTTCTCCAATATGGTTGGGCCGACAGATTATGTCATCGTCCATCGCCGATAACTGACAGACATTACCGACTCACTCTAGACATCATTTGATGCCAATTTGGTAGACATTGCACAACCCTAATTATCCAAAGAACCTTTCAGTGAACAGTTCTTAAAAGAACCATTTTTTTCTAAGTGTGAAGAATATTTGAATAATCTAAAGAACTGTTATCCACTGTAAAGAACCTTTTGTCCGATGAAAAAGTTTCATGGATGTTAAAGGTTCTTTATGGAGCCACTGATGCCAATAAAGGACCTTATTTTTAAGATTGCATAGCTGCAAAAGTGATGCAACTGTTTTGCTCTGACTTTGGTTGCTCCCAAACACCAGATGAGATGGTTTGCAGTCAGCGAGCTGCACACAATGCTTGAACGAGACAGAGACAGAGACAGACATGCCCGCATCACAAACACAATCACAGCACAGGGTCACGAATGGTTTGATGGAGAAAAATGAAGGAGATCAGTCCTCTAAATAGCCACAGTGATGTCGCTCTCTCCATACTGGCAAAATAACGTTCCTCCATCAACGTTAAAGCACCATAACGTGTGGTAATGAGGTTAGGAGATTGGATGAGGGTTAGGACCTCCAGAATGTTTTGAATATGATGTTACCCTTAAAAAAGACAAAAGACAAAACCCTAACATGTGAGACGTCTTTAAAATCTCACCTGTTTCTCCTAGATAACAAAATTTAATATTTAAAAACACACTGAAATTCAGCATAACCCATTCTGTTTGTGAATGTTCTTTTCCAGAGATCATCATTTTCTTACAGCGTCAGTGAGCTGACAGATTGTTGTTCATTCCTGCCTCTTCCTTTCATTAGTTTCTATCTGCATCTCCATCTACAGTACCTCTCCCCCTCTGCCGCTCTCCTCCACACCTCCTCTAACTCAATATAAACCTCAAATTGACTCCAGAAACTGCTGAGATAATTCAGTGTGAGCAGAGTTTATTAGTAAACAAAATGCTGCAAATTAGAGCTCTTGAATATCTCAATTGTTGTAGATAGGAATGGAAATAAAAGAAGAGCAAATGGCTTAAATACCCTGGTGTTTAAATGCCTCCTGAGGAAAAAGGCCCCAGTAATCTCATTTGTGTCTCCTTTAGAGTTTCATAGGAGATCTCAATCGCAAACTGTGCTCAGATTTGCCAAAGTCGTCGGCAAACAAAAGAAGAGATTTCGATAAGAACTCACACAACTTTCATCAAAATCTCCCAAGCTGAAATAGTCACATTTATTTATTACTCTCCGCTCGCTCTTACATGTCAACAATCATTTGAGTCTATTTTTATTTCTCCTTAAGAATATAAGGAGAAACATCTGAGACAAAGTACTTAAAACTGAGAACTCCAACCTCTGGGTGTCCACCACAAAGCTCAAATTAAAAATGCTGTACTTTTGGAGAACATCTGAGCTATTTTGAACACTTCTGCTTCTTCAATTTGTCAAATCTAGTAGACAACAGCTGTAGAAATATGAAACTAGCTTTGTCGAACAGTGAGGTCTGTGGAACTTATTAGAAAGGCATGTTTAAATATACTGTAGGTCGGTAGTTGACAAGTGATAAAATAGCACAAACTTTTCCATCTCAAGACGCAAGACAAAGTATATATATAATATTTGATTGTTTTAAAAAGATACCTATTGAATGATTATTAACATGTACTTTGTACATTAATAATCATTTAATAAGTATATTTCAATAAGTATATATTTTTAAAAGAATCAAATATTATTTAAAATAGTTTAAAATTTAGATTTTAGACTTTTAGAGACAGCAAGATGCTGCTTGACATTTCATGAAAAACCCAGATAGATAGATAAATAAATAAAAGAGGCAACTGCATCATACACATCCACACTGATTATGGTTCATTATGTGTTTCTATGGCTATGACCCACACATAGACAAAATCTCTGGAGCTGGATGACCTTTACATTACAGCCCAGGAAAAGGCAAAGCATACACACGCGCGCGCGTCTCACAACAGCAAAATAACCACATACACGCAGCCAACTTGTCATTAGCAACAGCCAAATGACTGTAAACAGACTATTATTACCTTAAAAACTGCTATCCAGAGAACGTCCGCAGAAATGCAGTGGGGAAAAAATGTCCAATAAACCCCAAAACGCATCCAGTGCGTGACTCAGACTGGTACAGGATTCACTGTGATCCAAAATTAAATCCCGAACGCGACCCTGTCCAATACAAGTGCATTACTGAGTCAAACAGACCGGTTAAAAGTCTACAGCTGCAAGCCTCCATGGGGCAGCCGCGAGCCGACAACAGCAGAGCTGTCATAAACTTTTCCCCTCACTGCTCGCACCATCTGCATTGGGGTCTCTGGGGGGGAAACGACAGCCTCCGTTTGCTCTCAGGACGGCCACGGGGGGCGTACACACTTTTGAGACAGTCCTCACACACTACAAGAGCCTTGCAGATACACGCACACGGACAAGACTGCGACATGAGAGTGAGGGAGAGCGAGAGAGCGTGGGCGCGTGAGCGTGTTTGAGGAAGTGTATCGAGAGGAGGAGAGATCCTAACACCTCACACACAAACTCCCTGAACGGTTCAGATTGCACACACACTCGCAGTGACAGTCCTCACATGCCCCGTTTGGCAGCCAAAACGGTAGTGTCTTTTTTGGACTTTAAGTGCTCTATTGTATTGTCAGTGTTTTCATAAGCTTTTGGTTTAGAAATGTCTGCACGTGCGATCCAGAGTCGTTCACATGCAACTCACGCAGGTGTTAAACTTTGCCTAATAGACTTTCTATATCGCTGGCAATTGATGGATGGATTTGCTATTTTGTATTTTTTTTTAAGTGTGAAGTGACGTGACGTGTGGCCAGGTATGGTTACCCATGCTAGGAATTAGTGCTCTGCATTTAACCCATCCTAAGCAGTGTTGGGGAAAGTTACTTTTAAAAGTAATGCATTACAATATTGCGTTACTCCATAAAAAGTAACTAATTACGTTACTTTTTATGAAAAGTAATGTGTTACGTTACTTTTGCGTTACTTTTAAAATCTGGACAGGAGTTGCTTGTTTGTTTTTAAAATAAAAAATCATATTTTTGCCAAATATAAAAAGCCTTTTCACACCAGAAGTGAAATGAATAAGCCTCAGGCTGAAGGGAAAGTAAATATACATCCGTACAGTAGAATGCAGAAGAAGAAATTTCAACACACTTAAAAAAAAGACACACGAATGTTCGTCTAGAGTAATTTTTGCTTATTAGTACGGTTGAACTGGATCATCGAAGGTCAGAAGCAAAGACATTGCTTAATAGAATGGGATTAAATACATAAAGGATATTTGTGTTGTTTAACATTTAATTATTGCAGGTTTGCGTCATATTCTGAGTTGCATTATTTTTATTCATTTTGAGGAATACTAAATCGGTTTCGTTTTTTTTTTGTGAGTGAGATGAATTAATGCATATTCATATTTATTTTAGAACTACAGTAACATCTGATTTCTCTCAACATGGGGACAGCAGAGCTGTCAATCAATAAATTGAAGGGAAAAAAAGTAACTTGCGTTACTTATTTGAAAAAGTAACTCAGATATTCTCTTGTAAATTAAAAAGTAATGCGTTACTTTACTAGTTACTTGAAAAAAGTAATCTGATTACGTAACTCGCGTTACTTGTAATGCAACACTGATCCTAAGTGCACACACACAGCAGTGAACACACACACACACCGTGAACACACACCCGGAGCAGTGGGCAGCCATTTATGCTGTGGCGCCCGGGGAGTAGTTGGGGGTTTGGTGCCTTGCTCAAGGGCACCTCGGTCGGGGTACTGAAGATGGGAGAGAGCGCTGTACGTTCACTCCCCCCCCCCACCTACAATTCCTGCCGGACCTTTGGGTTACGAGTCCGACTCTCTAACCATGAGGCCACGACTTCCGAGTACATTTCAAACTAAATAGATTGTAAGTAAATATCCACTTAATCCAGCAAACGTTTTGTTCACTTTGTTCACTTTGTTCTACAATTAAACAAAAATGAAAATCCCCCTCTAACTTATGTAATGTAAAAATTTGTTTAATTCTCATTTTATATATAAAATTAAATCTTGAATCTAATGAGAGCCACCATAATAATGTCAACTAACTAATAATGGTAACTAACTAATTAAAATGTGTATCTAAAATGTGCTTTAGCAGAATGAAAATAATATCAGTGTTCAGTAAAAAAAAGAATAATAATAACTGGGCATTTATTTATGCAAACAGTTCTTTAATTTAAAAAGTATTTTGGCTCAATCAGATTTTGTTTTGACTGAATCTGATCAAAGCTTACTCTAAATTGCTTTGGTTCAATTAAAGTATAGAATTTTTCCAGAAAAGTCCCTACAGTTTATGACTAAACGAGACTCTTTTTAGTATTCCAGCTGAATCAGGGCTTGATCTGTCTGTCATATAGTGGCACTTCAAACAGACGTCTAACATCAGACACCCAACTGCATTCCTGAGCATCGCTTTTCATGACTTCCTTATCAAACCATCAGACATATTGTTGCAATAGGGTGGAGCTCCACAATGATTTCAACAAAAAAATGTCTTTGGGATAAGAACATGTATGCAAATGTAAGTGCCGCTGTAATCCAAGTTGGGAAAACAATGTCAGTGCTGAAAATTGCATGTAAAAGCGAGGTTAAATCAAGTGCCGTGTAAGAAGGTTATCTTTAAAGGGGTCCTATTATGCTCTTTTACAAAGTCTTGATTTTGTTTTGGGGGTGTACTAGAACATGCTCTCATGCTTGGTGGTTCGAAAAACACATTATTTTTCACATAATTTACATTATTAAAATACCCTTCTGACCAGTCTGGCACAAGCGGCTCGATTAGTTCCGGCTTTGATGAAGGTCCGCCTTCCGAAAAACAAAATGTGTTGTGATTGGTTAGCTGTCCCAGTGCGTTGTGATTGGCGAACAGCTTAGACGGTGTTTCAGTACTGCAACGCCCCTTGCTCCGCTCAACAAAAGCTTTTGGCGAATCCGGCAGGCACTGTACTCCCTCATGTTGTGGAAGCTGTCCTCAGTAAAATGCGCAAGTTGGGGTTATAATGCTCAGGAACAGAGTTAAAAAATGATTTGCAACCACTGTTTCCTGACATCATTCGCTTTTCGGAAGCCTAAACAAAGACACGGAGGTGAAAAAAACAGCGTTTCAGGCGGTCGCGCACCGGACGAGAAGCGCAGCGTCGCGCCACGTCTTTAAAATTCAAATACTTTATTTTCAATGAGTGTAGGCACACCGGCGGCGCCGTTTGGCGTCTGTCCGCGGCGCCCAGCTGTACTTGTAAGAATTGTTCTAGACATGCCGAAAATGTGAAGCTACAGCACAGCAGCTCTTCTTCTTCGTTTTCGCTGATGCACTAACTCTGCAGCAGCACTTCTTCTTCATCGTCTCGTCTGATGCACTCACTCAACCAAGCGTTCTAACCACAACCTCGCCCTTCCCCACCCCCCAACCATTCGAATTTCTGTAGGTGGGAATTCTTTGTAATGATATTCCAATGAGCCGCTTTGTGATATCACAAAGCCCGGAAAACAAACGCTGTAGTCCAAACGAGCCGTTCGTTGTAGTTCTTGAAAGGGGATTTTTAAAAAACGAAATATCTCCCTTTGGAGTGGACTTTCAGATTTGTAACTTTCTAGATCTTTTTTTATGCCCAAACATACACACTACACACTGACTAAAATTTAAAAAGTGAAAAAGCATAATAGGACCCCTTTAAATTAAACCCAGTGGCCAAATATTGTGCGGACAGAGAGTGTGTATGTAAGATTATTATATGATGTGGTCAACTGGAAATTGAATGTTGGGTGATGCTCTTGTCTGATTCTTTTTATCAATTTTCTGTACATTACAAGAACGTAAAAGTGAGCATTCTTTGATTCTAGAAACTTTAAATGCTTCTGTTGATCAGGACAGAATGCTTTTCTTTAGCTTGAGCTGGTTGTTTAAACTGTAGTGTTTTTTCGTTGTTACTTTCGACAAAATTGCTTTGACAAAATTACAGTTTCAAGTGGATAGAGTCGGGCAGGAGGAGAGAGATGTGTGTGAAGGAGAGGGAGGGTTTGACGACTGTTGCATGCTTTATTACTGCTGGTGTGAGTAGTTGAGTTTTTACAGCTTTGAGACTGATGGCTGCCTCTGTATAACTGTGTAAGATGGTCGCTCAGCCCATCGTCTTTACACAGGACTTGCATACTGTATGTACCATAAACATGAATATTCATAGAAAAAAATCTATATGATGTAGAGCGGGCTTTTGAATATGCTTTATATTAAGTCTTTGTACAGCACTGATGATCAGTTCTTTTTATAGAACATAATGGGTCAATGAATTTGGATCCAATGGGATCTGAATTTGAATTTGGGTGTGGATCTGAGTCTAGATTAAAATGTGGATTTGAAAGTGAATCTGGATCTGAACATAGTTTTGGATTGGGTTTTTGACTTTGATCTGGGTGTAGATTTAGAAGTGTATTTAAATCTGAATTTGGATCTTTTTGGGGGTCTGGATCTGGGTCTAGATTTGAATGTGGATTTCTATTTGAATTAGGATTTGGAGCTTTGAATATAGTTTTGGGTCTGGATCTGGGAGTAGATTTAAATATGGATTTGAATCTGGATCTGAACATAGTTCTGCATCTGGATCTGGGTGCATATTTAAATGTGGATTTGAATTTGGATCTGAACACAGATTTGTATCTGGTTTGGGTCTGGAACTGGATCTAGATTTAAATGTGGATATGTGTTTGAATTTGAATCTGGATCTGAATGAATTCTGATTGATGTCAGGCCTTTGAATATGGTTTTGGATCTGGATCTGGGTAAAGATTTAGATATGGATTTTAATCTGGGTTTGGGTATGTAATGATTTAAAAGTAAAACAGCATATTAAAGATTTCAGCATCTAGAAAACCTTATGTATTCCAACAGTAAAAAGTAGTAGAAATAGCTAAACATTCACTTGTGAGTTTGATAAATTTACCCTTTGTGAATACTCTACCTCAATGGATAAATATCCATATTATGATTGCAGTAATTAAAAATATTAACCTTTTTCTGTATCTAGTTGGAGATCTGCCCCTGTGTGCCATCCACTCAAGAGGTTCCAGATCTCTATGTCATAATTGATCACTGTGGTTACGTTGGGCAGCCATGCTAGATGGAGTGCAGAAGTCACCCACTGTGCAACAGCTGCTGATATTCTATTTCCCCCAATGCACAAGGAGAGACCGAGGTCACAGCGCTTACTGGGATCATCAAATTGTTGCCGTGGTGACCGAACATTGGAAAGTCTGACTCATAATGGAAGGTTTGAATTTTTGAACTTTCAAAGCACAAAGATTCATTATTTATTGAACACCATTTGTACTCGTTAGACTCTTGGCTATATTAAGAGACACTCAATTTTGACAATGAGTCTCTGGGGTGCCCT